CGCAGATGGAGGGGTGAGGGAGAACGGGCACACCTGCCTAGCCAGCCAGATCAGCCGATTCGACCCTCTTGAATATTGGGGAGACAGATGTTGCAGCTAGATTGCCCTCACATCCGAAAATTAAGTTTCTTGTTGTTTTTGTTTTTTAAGATTTGAAAGGGGGGGTGCAGCCACAAACAGGAGGAGGGGCAGAGGAAAAGGAGAGAATCTCCAAGCAGACTCCCCACTGAGCAGGGACCCTGACGTGGGGCTCGATCCCATGACCCTGGGATCTTGACCTGAGCCAAAACCAAGAGTCGGACTCTTAACCAACCAAGCCACCCAGACGCCCCATTTGGAGGTTTTTTTGAGCAAACGTCAATGCACATCAGGCAGCACCAGGCTAACAATGGCTAGGGGCACTGCACCAGCAGGAGCTAAGGGAAAGGCTTACAACACAGATGGAGAAGCAACTCAAAGAAATTCCTTGATTGGCTACAACTTGTTGCCTTATTTGAGAAGGCTTAGTTGGCTGTTTGTGATTAGCTATTCTTAAATTCCTAGTTCTTAATTTTGAGGCTTTTAAAGGCATCCACACTAGCTTAGGTTTAGGTTTGCTTATCTAGGCTGCTAAGACATTACAGCCAGCTCAGTAGTTCCTTGTCTAATTACTTGAACAGCCCCGGGGCGCAAGGCCATCCTGGAGAGACTATGTGGAAACCCAAAACCTCAGGGAGTTGATGCTCTAGGATTCATAGTGGTAAGTGAAGTGAGAAAGCCTTTCTGGTATTTCATTTGAATCCCTCACTTTTCTTACCAGTGTTTCACATACACTGGTGTTCAATGATATATGCAGAACGAGGGAATGATCCAGTTCCCTGAAGCATCAGAAGCCATTTTCTCTATCATTTATGACTGAACAGTGGTTTACAGTGAAGAGACTTCCAACGAGCTTATCTCGCCTGATGAAGTTGAAGGAGAGCACTGTTGAATGTGATACAGTAATTCAAACAAACTTCACTGAATAAATAGCCTTACTCACCAATCACGACTTTATGAAGCTCATGAAGTGGGTCCTCACCAGGGGCTGAATCTACACACCTTGATCATGGACTTTCCACCCTGTAGAACTGTGAGAAATAAATTTCTGTTGTTTATAAGCCATCAAGTCTATGGTATTTTCGTTATAGCAGCCCCAACAGACTAAGACATTATGTAAGTGGAAAATGTTGGCTAAGGCTCTTAAGAGTAATGAATTACTCTTCCACCAGAAATTTTAACCAAGTCCTACCCATAAATCTCCAGTTTACATCTCTTGCAACTAAGAAACTGCTTTATATTTTAAATATACACACCCTCTTGGGGCGCCTGGGTGGCTCAATTGTTAAGCGTCTGCCTTCGGCTCAGGTCATGATCCCAGGGTCCTGGGATCGAGCCCCGCATCGGGCTCCCTGCTCAGCGGGAAGCCTG